GCCAACTGACCAGGCTACAGTACTGTGTGTGTGTGTGTGTGTGTGTGTGTGTGTGTGTGTGTGTGTGTGTGTGTATATATAAAGCAGCTACTTTTTTTCAGCAAATTATGTACCCTTTATTTAGTAAATTATTTAGCCCCTTCACAACCCTTTGAATGTTTATCTTGCATAAACTTTTTTTTTAATATATTTATTTATGTTTTTTTTTATTAATTTATTAAATTGTATTACATCTTGCATGTTTATGCATGTAAAGCCTACTTGGTTTGCATATTTTTTAGAACATTTAATAAAAATAAATTAATTAATAAAAACATAAAAATTAGATGTAGTATATAATCCCAAATCTTATTTTTGAAAAAGTCGGTGGTAAAGAGTTTTTTTAAAAGTGTGGCTTTAAGATTCATAAACTCATATTAGGCTAAAAAAATCTCCTCTTTCAGTTTTTATTTGCCCACTTAATAATACTGGTTAGTAATAGTCATAAATATATACACACACACACACACACATATATAATATTAATAATATTAATATATATATATATATATATATATATATATATATATATATATATATATATATATATATATATATACATACATACATACATACATACATACATACACACACACACACACACACACACACACATCCCTGTGTTACACCACCGTCTTTAATTATCAGCAGTTTGACAACAGAAAAAAACAAAATTAATAATATAATTTTAATATGTATGAAAAGATAACCCTTTCATGATGATGCATGCAAAATATGTATTGCCTATTTAAAAATTATCTTAGAAAATGTACCTGTCATTTCTGAGCTGACATTATCCTTCTATTCAGATGGCAGTACTAAGAAATAAATGTTTATGGTCACATGGCCAAACTACCCAATCATGTTTGACCTGCTCTGAACTCATTTAGACATCTTAACTTTTCATTATATATGAACATGTGCTTTATAATAAGAGTTGCTTTTGAATACTACAGAAAAATATGCAAGCAAAAATTGTGGTCACAATTAGAGATGTCCCGATCTGTAAATTCGTCCGATATCAGTCCAAAAAACTATATCGGACTGCGTTAAAAATCTAAGATAAAAGCAGTCCGATACACTCTAAACTCCGTTACAGCTATTCTGTTTAGCAACATCCAGAGCCAGCATGCAAAGCCCACGTGATCACAATACTGCTTGATAGCAAAGTCAATAGAAATCTATTGTGATGGTAGCACACGCTGACGCTATCAACAACAACACATGTCTATGGAACCAGATTAGTCTCAAAAGAAATTCATGCAAAAGACACGATGTACACATGCGTAGCCAAATTCACGTGCATAAAACCAAATTCACGTGCATAAAATATTTATTTATATTCACAAAAAAATTTCACGAGCACAAAATAAAATTACATTTTTTATAAAATATGTTTCACAAATGCAAAACACCATTTGCAAATGTATAAGACAAAAAGTTTTGAATGTTTAAAACTTGCGAGTTCATCCTGGATGAGAATGTGCAAAACCTCTTTCACGTACGACTCCCCCTGGATATGTGTGTGTGTATTTTTGAGACTTTCCTGCCAGAGTCAGGGTAACTCGTACCTTTCAGCCAATCAGATGAGAGCTGTATTCAATGAAACCAACTCTGCGCTTCTTTTGCGCAGACTGTTCCTCTCCAGCATGGCGAACGGAGAAAGCAGCAGTCGCAGTCGCACTTTTTTTTCATTCATTTATTTATTTGACCATATCCTCACTCTTTTTATCCATTATTTTGCCGCAGCTCTGCTTTTCTTATTGCAGCGCATTTGTGGTCCAGTGGTCAGCACGTTGGGTTACCATGCTCTTAGACCTGTGTTTTTTTCATTTTTATTGTTAAGACATATAAAACTGTAAGGTTGTTGAACATTTGAAGTTCTAAAGCAGCTGTTTTCTTGAAAAAGACGTGATAGTTTCATTAGAAACTGAATGAAACTGAAAAAAAAATAAAGATCCTCACCTGAGTAAATATCTTTTTTTTTCAGTTTCATTTAGTTTCTGATGAAACTATTACGTCTTTTTCAAGAAAACAGCTGCTTTAGAACTTCAATTGTTCAACAACCTTACAGTTTTATATATATTAACAATAAAAATGAAGTAAAAAAAGTACCAACTTATGTGTGGTTCGAACACGGGTCCAAGGACATGGTAAAACAACGTGCTGACCACTGGACCACAATGGCTCTGTAAAACTGGCTGGATTGATACTTATGATAACCAAAAAGAGTGAAGATATGGTCAAACAAATAAATAAATGAAAAAAAGTGCGACTGCTGCTTTCTCCGTTCGCCATGCTGGAGAGGAACAGTCTGCACAAATGAAGCGCAGAGTTGGTGTCATTGAATACAGCTCTCATCTGATTGGCTGAAAGGTACGAGTTACCCTGACTCTGGCAGGAAAGTCTCAAAAATGCACACACACGTATCTAGGGGGAGTCGTACGTGAAAGAGGATTTGCACATTCTCATCCAGGATGAACTCGCAAGTTTTAAACATTCAAAACTTTTTGTCTTATACATTTGCAAATGGTGTTTTGCATTTGTGAAACGTATTTTATGAAAATGTATTTTTATTTTGTGCCCGTAAAATTTTTTTGTGAATATAAATAAATATTTTACGCACGTGAATTTGGTTTTATGCACGTGAATTTGGCTATGCATGTGTACATCGTGTCTTTTGCGTGAATTTCTTTTGAGACTAATCTGGTTCCATACATGTCTAACGTTACTGGTTTATTTACTTCACGCCAAGCGATCTTTACATTGTTTTGTATATGCTGCTAAGCAACAAAAGGGACCGAATTGCGACGTAGCACACATCGTGCGAGCCTTAATTCCGTCATGGCATGTCTTGGTGCATCCAATGTACCTAATTCAACACCAGCGCTTCCCACACATAAGACTACCTCAGCGGCCCGGTTCTGTGTGCGTGAGAAAAGTCTCCGCCACAGACTCGCGGGCTCTGCTGCTGCAGACCCACAGAGACGCGCTGGACACCTGCTCTGACTTTAACTTTGAGAAGAGTACACCCAGAAAAAAAAGCCTTTTACTAAATAGACTGATCCAGCTCATTATTTAGAGTGAAAATACAGTACATTGTCTTTTTCCCGGACATGTCCTCTATTTGCGACTTAAAAATGCATTCAGCCAGGATTTCTAAATCGCCTATCATGTCCCAGATTCTGCTTTCTTTAGCTGCGTTTCTACATTATTACAAGCAAACAGTGGCCGGTGAATCTCAATCTCTCAGCAGCACCAAGACTAGAGAGGGAGCAGATTTGACCTGTCAGTGGTGCACATGGATAATAGGAGTGAAATAGTGGATTTATTATTCTTTATTTTATTTTTTTACTTTAACACTCTAAAAGGAAACGGTTTCATGTAAAATGCTAAACATTTTTGTTGTTTTAACTGTCTGTTAAATAAGAATAAGAAATCATACTTTTGCTGAGGGCCATTACAGTTTAAAAGAAAGAATGGTATTACTTTTGGGGCAGAAGGAAAATTTAATTAGAGACATTCCCATGTTTAACTCTTCGTTAAAAAGCCCAGAAAGATAAAGTGCTCTGATAAACAGTGTCAGCTTTGCACATCAGTTTCTGTCTGTCTGTACATTGTCTAATTTTTCCCATGTGGGCAGTAGGGTGGAATTTATGCAATATATTATGCAAATATAATGAATTTTCATAAATAAAATTATTCTTAAAAGTCATATCATTGTATGTGCAGTGGAGAAAATGTGTGTTTCAATTCAGCTTCTGCATGTATATTTATTTTAAAGATAATATGTGAAATATATATTATTATACAATTTATAATGTTTGGGAACATTGATACAGCCATAATGTTCTTATGATACAAACAACTAACCTATGGTTTGTACTAACCATACTGCACATTTTTATTAACTTAACAATAACTTATTTCTGAAGCCCAGTTTGAAAGATATTTTTCAGCTCAACTGGAACAAAAATTTATCAAAAAGCTGTGTTTGAAATCGACACTTTGGACACTGAACCTTGTTCAATTAACAATATTTTTTTCATATGTTCCTGCTCTCAGCTGTTTCTACTATTTGCTGATGATAAAAAAAAACTGAAATGACCTTTAATTAGCATTTTGCACTTTAAAAATGTATTTTTGTTTATTCAATTAAGATATTTTATAAAATTAAAAAAGTAAAGTATTCATGATTTGTGCTGATATCGGATATATATCGGTATCGGTTCATACTGAAAGCTGCAATATCGGTATCGTATCGGAAGTTAAAATGTTGTATCAGGACATCCCTACATGAGAAAATGTTTTGTGTGTTTCATGTAATGTGTGCAACTGTTTGTCCAATTCTGTAGACACATCAGATTTCAGATGTACAGTTTCTCTCCAGTGTGAATCCTCTTTTGTGTGATTCAGATGTGTTCACTGATTAAACCTTTCGTCACAGTGTGAACACTTGTATGGTCTCTCAAGTGTAAAACGTCTGGTGCAGTTTCAATTTTGTAATAAAAGTCTTCTCACACTCAAAGCACATATACTCTTTCACACCAGTGTGGATCTTCATGTGTTCATTAAGGTTTGCTGATCGGTTAAAACTCTTCTTACACTGAGTTCATGTGAATGGTTTCTCCCCAGTGTGAGTCTTCATGCGTTTATTAAGGTCTGAAGAGTTACTGAAACTCATCCCACGCCAAAGCTGCGGTCACACTAGAGTTTGAGCATGCAAAATTCTGTTGTATGGTGTTGCGAAAAGGAGCGGGAACAAACAAGATGATTAGACATTAAAAACAGTGTGCGATTGGAACATTTTTTAGAATTTCGGTCCAGAGAGGTCATGTTTTGATCTTCGATTGGTCTCACAGTCAAGTGATGCGATTTCGCAGGTCAGAGTCCGTCAGAGTTTCGTAGTTCATGGTTTCTCTCCGTTGTGGCTTACCATGTGTAGATTAAGGCATGATGATTGGCTGAAAATCTTCCCACACTGAGTGCATGCATATGGTTTCTCTCCAGTGTGTTTCCTCATGTGTCGATTAAGGTGTGATGAGCAGGTAAAACTCTTCTCACACTCAGTGCATGTGAATGGTTTCTCTCCGGTATGGATCCTCATGTGTAGATTAAGGTGTTCTGATCGGTTGAAACTCTTCCCACACTGAGTGCATGTGAATGGTTTCTCTCCAGTGTGGATCCTCATGTGCTTATTAAGAGATGATGATTGGCTGAAACTGTTCCCACACTGAGTGCATGTGAATGGTTTCTCTCCAGTGTGGATCCTCATGTGTAGATTAAGGGATGATGATATCCTAAAACTCTTCTCACACTGAGTGCACGTGAATGGTTTTTCTCCAGTGTGGATCATCATGTGTTTACTAAGGTTTGATGAGCAGTTGAAACTCTTCCCACACCGAGTGCATGTGAATGGTTTCTCTCCTGCGTGGATCCTCATGTGTAGATTAAGGGATGTTGATAAGCTAAAACTCTTCCCACACTGAGTGCATGTGAATGGTTTCTCTCCAGTGTGGATCCTCATGTGTTTATTAAAAGGTGATAAGTGGCTGAAACTGTTCCCACACTGAGTGCATGTGAATGGTTTCTCTCCAGTGTGGATCCTCATGTGTAGATTAAGGGATGATGATATGCTGAAACTCTTCCCACATTGAGTGCATGTGAATGGTTTCTCTCCAGTGTGGATCCTCATGTGAACCTTAAGTTTGCTTTTGCTTGCCAAAATCTTTCCACACTGAGTGCAGGTGAAACTATTTTTGTCTCTCCTTTTCAATATACCATCAGTCTGTAAATGAGTTTTTTCCTCAATTTTGACATGATGTTCCTCCTCTTTACTCCTCTCCTTCTCTTCAATTAGGTCTGAAATAAATAAATAAACATTAGTTTTCATTAAGTCTTAAAAACTCTCATCAAAACACACACACAATGTAATTTTGATGCATGATAAATGTAAAATAAATCAGATCATAGTTTGTTTGGTCCATTAACGTGTACACACTTAAGCAGATTCCAATCATCTTCATTTATCTAGTGTTTTTACAATGTGAATTCTGTCAAAGACACTTCACATAGAAGTTATAGTAAATTGAAACCGTGTCAGTCCAGTTTTCCAAGTTTCTCATAAAAGTATTTTTGGTCATATTAATAAGACACAGATTTGAAAGCTGTTTGTAGCTGACGCTGATTGGTCAGCTTGTAATTTTGTTTATTGTTTTGAATTTCATTATATGAATGTGTATTGATATATGTTTGTTACTAATTTCTTTGTTTCCGGTTGGCTTGAGTGGAAAGTCACATGATTCTCATTGATTGATTTAACCTGCAAGAGTTTGTATGGTCACTCAGGATGGTGAGATCTCAATGCAAGCACCTGTTTAATGCTCCTGCTTATTCTACAGCTGGTTATCAGGCCAACACGGTAAACTAAACATTGTTTTATGTATTATTTGTTTATTTTGATGTCCTTTTGATTGTGTTGATCGTGCAGTCTTCACGGTGTTCAATAAATGAAACGCATGGTGGACATCAGTATTTGGAAGTGTGGATTGTTTAATAACCAGCGGGTAGTTACACTGTTAATGGCCTATTTTTATTTGTATATATTTATAATTACAACAAAATGACAGGGAATACTTTTTCATTCTGTGCCTGACTGGCTAACGCATCAGAAAAAAAAAGTTCTGAGGTAACAGCCGAACAAACAGCTGAATATTTACCTCTCAGACATGAGACATATCTGTACAACATCTGCATAAAGGCTGGAATGTGCACCTTTCCAAAGATGTATAGTAACGGAGTAGAACTACTTCACTACTGTACTTAATTACTAAAAGGCAGTATCTGTACTTTACTGAAGTATTATTTTTTTTCTCCTACTTAAACTTTTACTTCAGTACATATTTTCAATAAGTTTAATACTTTTACTTCGATTAACTTTTTATGTGCTGCATCGTTACTCGTTACTAGGGGTGTCAAAATAATCGATATTGGAATAGGTTATTACATACTAACGTCATTTATCTACACTGCGCGATGTCGCAATACTAGGACGGAGGCGAGGGTGAGTGAAGGCTGCACAGCACACGAGCCACTATTTCACTATACAGAGAATTGCTGTAAAACTTCATCTTTGCCTCTTTCTCACTTTGTACATTTGACCTGTTGCGCTGGCTTTCCTCTTCTCTTGTCTAAGCGATAATATTGGATCCGGACACAAGCGTGCCTTTGGTGCGAGTTTTCTCCAATGTCTATTATGGATTATCTGTGATAACCGTGTATTATTTGTATTAAAGTACTGGCACTAGGGATGTAACAATATTGTAAATACCGTCATAGTAATTTTTTTCAATATTACTGTAGGCGCATGACTCAATAAAACTATATTTCTGAGAAAAGTTTGCTTAGGCAAATGAAGCGAACGGGAGGTAGCGGGAACTACAATTCCCATCAGCCTAGGCATGGCCATCATCCTTTCTGGTCTGTTGTTACTACAGATCCAGTAACGCGGAGATGGAGTGTGTTGCTAGTAGAGGGGAAGAAAAAGAGCTGGAAATGATCGAACCTAAAGCGGGTTTTAAATCGGATGTGTGGAAGCATTTCGGTTTCTTTCTAAAAAGATACGATAAAGGAGAAAAGGTGACAGACAAAGAAAAAAACAGTATGCAGGCACTGCCAGACTGTGGTAAAATATAAGTCGGGGAATACGACTACAAACAGTCATGGTGACTGCAGAACACAGCACACTTGTTAGATTGATGCAGACATTGACTTGTACCATAAAGAGACCTCTATCTCACTCATGGCTTGTCCTCTCAAGTGGTGGAAAGACATTGCACAACGTTACCCACTGCTGTCAACCTTGGCTAAATCATATCTCTCTGTCCCAGAAACCTCAGTCCCAAATGAGAGGTTTTTTTTTTTTCTTCTGTTGCCGGGGACATGCCCAGAGATCCCAGCTTTTACCAGATTATAGTTATATGATAATTTTTCTTAAAAAATCCATCTCTATATAAGTGAGTGAGTGATTAAATGTTGAATGTGATGAGTTTTCAACAATACTAAATTGAAACTTTATTTTTTTTAATATGGTTTAATAGTTTTTTGTTATTAAAATTGAAAAATTGAAGTTCTTGTTTTGAAACTTACAGATAGATGGCTAATTTGTATGTCATTGATATGTTCAGTGCTAAGGTAAATAAACACTTTTGGCACTTTTTTCAAGTCTTAGTAGTTTTAAGTAGTTTTGTTTTTCCTGTAAATTATTCAATAAATACCGTACCGTGCCATTCATACCAAGGTATTATCGTACCATGAAATTCTGATACAGTTACATCCCTAACTGGCACTCTTGCTAATTGTATTAATATTTATCACTGAAGGGTTCATAATTATGTCCAGTGTATTACGGTACTGTAGTGATGACATCATGTTGTTTACGTGTTTAACGTCTAGGGCTGCAACTAATGATTATTTCAATAATCAATTAATCTGTTGATTATTTTTTCGATTAATCGGATTAAAAAAAGCCCTTTTCAACCCTTTATTCAAAAAAGCTCATGCCTAGAATAATAATAATAAACTGTTTTCAATCCAAATATCTAAATGTTTTTAAATGAAGATACTTACTAGACACATGAAATTCCATAAGAAATCACTTAACCTTAAACTTTAATGATAGTTTGCTTAAAACAAGCTAAATTATTTGCCAATGGGGTGAGAAAAATTATCTTAATAAGATATAATCTCAAACAGCAACACTTTGTTTTCTCATGCTATTTTTCTTGTCTGGTCTTGATGTAAGATTCGTTTAGATATAATATGAACTGGAAACGAGACAAAATAACTAAGAAAGAAAGTTTTCTGCAGTGCAGCTATACATGACAACAGATGGAAAAATTAATGATCCAAAAAAGATAACATTCACACACTTGCTCATCATGCCATCAACTACCTGATATTCCAATTCACATAAACTCATTCATAAAAGCAGAACACGCAGGATTCAGCCGGTTCATTCAAAAGTTACTCCAAAAATACATGCAAGTAAGTGTTTGGTGAACTTAGAAAAGCCTAGATTCAACTTTATAGTTACTTTCACTATGTGTAATGTGTATCTGATATAAATAAAACACATCAGCAAATTATATTTGAATGGATTGTTAGACTTTCTTGTGTGTTTTACAAACTCTAAATGTATTGTTTTACTAGTACTTGTATGTATTTACATATCTAAAACATAAATGAAGTATTAGGCAGTTAAAATGCTGCATAATTGTGATAATATGACACGTTTCAGCGGAGTTAAGATGGTTTTGTTTTCGTAAAAAAAAGCAGCACTTTTCCAACAGTCCCTTACTGAGAGCTCTCCTCAGCGCAAGCTCTTTGGCTCAGCGCATATTGCAACTGCTTAAACGGAGCAGTGCTCGTAATATCGAGCAAAAAAAATAAATGAAAAAGACAGCTGTGAAACATAACCTGCTTTGTCTTTTTGTGGGAAACACAGTTTAGATCTTTATAGGGTAAGAGTTTTTTGTGTTAATGCCGTCTATCAGTGTCTGGAATACCGAAAACAAAACCTGCTGAACCCCGCTGTCTTTCTCTAGCTCAGCGCCAGACACAAAGAAACCAGCACCAGGGACTTTGTAGAATTCTGTAGTGATTCTTCCGCATCATCCCTGTCTTCTTGAGGCGCTGAACTCTGTATCAGTGCGCAAGAGACGGAGAGAGGCCTTGTTCAGTCCGCTCCGCTCCATGTTCTTTTTTTTCTTATCAAATGTCTCCTGGTCGCGCAACACAACGAATCGATTATGTAATTCGTTGCCAATGCTTTTAATAATCTATTTTTATCGATTTAATCGATTCGTTGTTGCAGCTCTAGTCTCCACGTTATACTGTTGATAAACAGAAGTGTTACCGTCTCGTGTTCATGCTGTACAGAGACAGCATGTGAAAGTGAGTAATAAAAGACGCTGATGAAACGATTTGTTCTGTCTAGTGCTTAAGCTACGCACTCCAAGCTCAACAGGTTATGGGCCCCAGGCAGCGAGACTAGCGATCGTTTTCAAGAAAGCAAAGTTAACGCGACGTATTCAGGTGCAAAGTTAGCAAAGATGGTAAGCAGAGCGGGAGGATATCTAGCGCCGCAGTTTATGTTCGATGGATCAGAAGAAAAATTCGATCTATGGGAGACGAGATTTCTAGTATATTTACACACTCTGAAGCTAAAAGAAACTATATTGCATCAGCCTACTGATGCTGAAGCGGAGCAACTAGATGAGGACAGACGGCAGAGCGCTGATTGTTATGCTGAACTGATCGATGATAAAAGCCTTTCACTGGTAAGACACAATGCTGCCGATGACAGGAGAAAAGCCCTAAAAATACTGAAAGAGCATTATTCAGGCAAAAGTAAACCACGCATAATAAACATGTACACAACATTGACACAGCTGCACGAGTGACAGTGAGAGCGTTACAGACTATTTGATACGAGCAGAAAACAACTTTACAGCTCTAAGAAATGCTGGAGAATTAATGAGTGATGGACTACCCATAGCGATGGTTCTCCGAGGACTACCGGATTCGTTTAAGCCACTAGCCATCCACATAACACAAAATGAAGACGATGTCACGTTTACAGTAAAGAAGTAAAGTAAAGGAGACTCCGAGTTTATGAGGAGACAGAGAAAATGAAAGTTGCAACTACAGACAATGTGATGAAGACCTGCACGAGACAAGGGCAAGGCTTTTACAAACCCCACACAAAAGATAGAAAAGATGAAGATATACATATAATATGCTACAAATGTTTTTATTGTTTTTGTTTATTTTATATGGCACCAGTGCTCAAGGACGCTTTACAGACAGTAAAAAAACAAGAAAAGCAAAAACCTTAAGAAGGTAGAGAAAAGGGAGACTAATAATACAACTAATATTAATAACATAGCAATAACTCCTCTCACTCTAAACTTTACCTTTTAGAGCTTGTTCTTGTTGGCGCAATATGGGTTTATTACATGTAGGCTATGAATCAGATTATGAAGAATGATTAAAAACATGCTTTTTCTTCGTTGCATCCTATCCGTAAGGTGTTTTATTTATTTATTTATTTATTTATTTATTTATTGAATTTTTTTAATAAAAGAAAAACAAACAAGCCCTACAAATAGCTTCATCCAAAGTATTGGTTCGCCTTTCTCGTTCGGCACGAATCCAAAATGTTCCCAAATTGGCAATGTAACAGGTTTTCCAACGAGTTTCATGGCTGAATTTGAACTCGCTGAATCGCCTTTAACATTATATTCATAAATGTAGTCCTTGGCAACATTTGTGACAAAAAAAAAGAAGCCCGGCACTCTTTTTTATGTCACTGGAAAACGACTGAATCAGCTAGTGTGCGCGAGTCATGTTGCTGTCATATTCAAGATCTGTGAAGTAATACAGCTCTGGATGTAACAACGACCACAAGTCTCCTTCATAATTAAAAGTTTGCCATAGTCGCCTTGACAACCCAAACACTGCTGTCACTCAACAGAAACCCTGCAGTGCTTTCATTTGATTGAAGAATAAAAAAGACGAGACTGAAGTAAAACACTTTTTTCCGCTCGAGCACACAGCACGCAACAGCAAAACACTCGCGGTCATTAGTAAACCATTTAACAGATGCCCCTTATGCAGCCAAACTTTAAAAATATATAAAGTATATTTTTTAATCGTTTAACTGATTCCATTAATCGGTTACAAATGCACTCTTTCGGTTAATGGTTAATCGGTTATTTTGAGCATCCCTATAATTAAACCGCATATGCAGGCTCTGAATTTTTTTCCCCTCACGGCCGCACGCCGGAGATCCAGCATGGTGCCGGAATACTTTTCTGTTTGAAATTATATCTCATTAAGATTATTTTTTTACACAATTAGCAAATAATTTAACTTGTTTTAAGCAAACGATGACTTCATTTTTAGATGTATTTCTTTTTCAGAAAACAAGACATAATTTATTATGCTATTTCATGTGTCTTGTATAAATCTATCTAAAAATTTACATATTTGGATTGAAAACAGGACAAAACTAGTAAGTTTTTATTTTTATTATTGTTATTATTAATAATATTATAACAGCTCAAAGGTGAGCTTTTTTGAATAAAGGGTTGAAAATGAATGCTTTTCTTGTTTTTTTTTTATATCCGATTCATCAATTTATCAAAAAAATTATCGACAGATTAATCGATTATTAAAATAATCGTCAGTTTCAGCCCTAATATATACCTTTGCTATTAAGTGCCTATACAGTGAATTAAAATGGCATCAAATTACAGCAGGTGAATGTCAACATTACTTTGATTAAGCAAGAAATTAAGACTTAGCCTGAGAGTTAACCTGCCCTGGACAAGGTTTCCCAGCAGAGTTGCCAGAGTAACTGAGTTTGAACTATCGTAGATTTGATTTATGAAACTGATTCAGCCATTAATAAACCTGACATATCCAAAATAAGCCTGGCTTTTTCTCTAAGCTTGGTAAATGGAATAGGGCCCTGGTATAGCATGAGCAGCGTGGAATGTGATTACAGATAACCCCGGATTCTCTTCATCCAGGATTAGAATGACCCAGGGTTAACAATTTGAAGTGTGAAAAGCCCTAAAAATACTCAGCATCAGCTCTCAGGATTAACAGAGCACAATGACAAACAGCAACCATTGTCAATCATGTCATAGTTGTGACCTAATCTCATGCTTTTGTTTTAGAACTTCAGTTGCCTATTGGGGAAATGACCAGAAATAATGAATGGCAGAAAACAGTCACACTACTTGCTCTACAAACAAGTGTGTTCAAGTCTATACATACAAAGAAAAATAATAAAATGAGAAAATATGACCTTGCAACATCAAGCAGCATTGGGCATGGGCCAGTTTAAGATTCTGACAGTATGATAACCTAAAATAAATTTTCTTCTCAGAAACTTTTAAAATATCTTGGAGCACTAAACATGTCAGGCTAAATCATTCAAATGAATCACAGATTTCTTTACGATTTAAAACGGCATCTTTGGATATCTTTTCTGCAGGAGATACTGTTGTCCTAAAAAACTTAAACAAAACATAAAAAAGGTACAGCAGAAAATGTTGGCGGTTTTAAAACCTTGACTTTTCCAAACTGCGGTAAACCCTAAATATAGTTATCGCCCCATGCCTAAAGAGCATAACTCTGATTTTAGGATCTAAAAATTAATTCTTTAAAAAAAGTGTCAGGCAAAAAGATTCCAATGGCGCCGCCTGCTGGTACATAAAGAATATGGTCAATAATCTCAGACTGTTCAATGTTTCACTTGAGTGTCTATTTCATTCAGCGTATTTAATACTGGGGGTATCCACAATTTTTGACATACTTTAAACCAGGGTTTCTGCAGGTTTTACCAAGTTAAATTTAAGGCTTTTCATGACATTTTTAAGACCATTATGAATGAAATTTTAGACTCATGAAGGTCTAAAGGCTAAATAACTTTTCAAATGACCCAGATGAAAAAAGATTTTTATTTGCCCCGTCCAAAAAAATATTATAAGTTAATACATTTAATAATACAATAATAAATTAATAATATTTTTAATATATTTTAGATATTACTTTAAAAAAATTAAATATTGTGTAAAAACAAGCAAGCTCTACTTTTATTCAAACATAAACGTTCTTCATAATAATAAAAAATGGACAAATGTTTTAAAAGTTTAAAAAACTACAATAAACTAAATCTATGCACAACAATCTGTCCAGGTTGATGTCCTCAGCAGTAAATACATGGAGATCGTTTAAACAAATGTTATTGTAAGGAAAATAATTAAAACAGATAAATTAGAGTGAAAATGACCTTTTTTAATAAAAAGTTTAAAGATTTATGTAGGTGGACTGTTGGTGATTGTGTGGGTTTTGGCCAGATTGGGTAACAAAACATGAACAAAGGAAAATGAAGACTTGTTTAAAAAAGATCTAAGACCTACAACACAATATGTCCGTAAATTTAAGACTTTTTAAGGCTTAAAATTTTGAGTCTTCTATGAGAATACTGTAGGTCAAATATCATCAGCTCAGTTAAACCTTTTTAAATTGATTGTATTTATTTATTTAATAAAGCGCCAGTGCTCAAGGACGCTTTACAAACAGTAGAAGAACAAGAAAAGCAATAACCTTAAGCAGGTAGAGAAAATGGCAGACTAATAATACAAAACAGAGAACAAGTGACAAAAGAAACTTATTTCTGTCTTTCAATGAGTGCTCGTGTGCGTTTAGGAGAACTAGGCAGCACACTCAGGTTTGCAAGATGGATTTAATTTAGTATTCTTATTATTAAAATATATCTAAATGAGGATCAAATGACTGAGTTGGTGTTTGAGAATGAAATTCAACCTGTTTGTTCCTGCAGATCTTCCTGTTTGACTGTGAATGTTTCTTCAATCTTCACATCTTCACTCTCCTCTTTAATGAACGCCATCTTTATAACAGTGTGGAGATCAGTCACTTCAGCAGGAGTTTTTCTCTGTGTTTGAACACTTTATCCTGTTTAAAATGAACAAAACAATAAAAATGTCCTGTTTAAAATAAATAAAACAATGAAGAGAAACAAAATTACTTCTCTTTAACACTTGCTTTAACAGTTTCTATTAATGAGAGTAATTAACAAAAAGAGATCAGGTAAAACGTTTCTTTAAAACAGTGGTTCTCAAAGTGAGGGTCGGGACCCCCTGAGGGGTCATAAAGGTAAAGTTGGTTTTCTATTAACACATTCGTTCATTTAGCAGTCTCTATATTGTTTACCATGTTACTTTGAATATTCGATCGAAATTAGCATGCAAGTGTGACTTGAAAACAACATTAGCACTGTTTATTTGACTGTGAACAATGTTGTACTTTGATAGTCATTAGCTGCTATTATGATTTCCCTATTTAGAATTTGCAATGAATAAATTCTGAAATTATATTATTAAGGGGAATGTCTGAATATCTGAATATAAAACTAACTTTACTTCTATACATAATTGAGGTAAAGTTGGTTTTATATTTGGGTATTCAGACATTCCCCTTAATAATAAAATTTCCTAAAAGTAATCTTTGCAAATATGGAAATCATATTAGCAGCTAATAATTACCAAAGGACAGCATTGGTTAAAGTCAATTAGATAGTGCTAATGTTGTTTAGAAGTCATACTTGCATGCTAATTCTGACAGAATATTTTCAGTAACATGGTAAACAATACAGAGACTGCTAAATAAATGAATGTGTGTGTGTGGGGGGGGGGGGTCGCAGGTTACTGGCATTATAGATAAAGGTAGAGGTATAGATATAGGTAAAGTTGGTTTTATATTTGCACATTCAGACTTTCCCCTTAATAATATAATTTCATAAAAGTATTATTTGCAAACTCTAAATAGTGAAATCATATTAGCAGCCAATGACTATCAAAGTACAACATTTCTCATGGTCAAATAAACAGTGCTAATGTTGATTTCAAGTCATACTGGCAGGCTAATTCAGATCAAATATTCAAAGTAACATGGTAAACAATATAGAGTCTATAAATGAACAAATGTGTGAATATAAAACCAACTTTACCTCTATTTTAAAGCTCGCATTACACACTTTTCTGTTTTAAACAAAAGCCCTCGGTTACTGGGAATAAAATAGTACTACACTGTATAAAGGGTTAAAATAATATTTCCAACAGCAGGTACATAATTTAGCATCGGATGAAAAACCTGAAACTTTAATTAAATCGGGTTATATCCGTAAACATTTAAAAACACAAACCTTTCTCCAGTTGAATCAAAGCGCTGAAGCGGCGCCACCTGATGATGTCACACACCACGCCAAAATAAAAGTCTTTTTTATAGCTTTTTTGCCACTTACTGTTGCAGTCATGACTTATTGATACATTTCTCCCTTGTTTTCACTCTATACTATTTCTGCTCTCTCTCTCTCTCTCTCTCTCTCTCTCTCTCTCACATTTCACATTTTAGGTGCTTTATGGGCATGACAAATAACTGTATTCATATTGCATACGTACAAACAAGACAGTAGTGCAAACAAATATGGATATAAAATATAATACAGAAAAAACACAGAAATAAATAAAATAAAAATAGATTAATAAAAATAAAAAGATTGATAAAATAAAAAATATGAATAAAAAATAAAATAGATTAGATCTCTCTCACAAACACACACTTTAGTATTTAAAGTTGATCAAAGTTTTTAATCTAAACATTTTAAGACAATTTTGAGAAACTTTTTTTAATCCAGTTCATGATGACTTGCATGTCTACAACACATTACTTCCTATTAATATCTGAATCCAAATCTCATCCTCATAATTATGACCCCTTATTTTCTTTTCTATTTTTACAACTTTATAGGCCTATATAGTGTTTCTTATTGTTTCAAATGAATTGTCATCTCTTATTAGCTGTGTTCCACGTTTTCTGCCATTCTTTAGCAATATCTTCAGTAATAATATTTCATTTACCCTTACTACCTGTTTGAGTTTCTTCTGCTGAATGTGAGGTGGATTTTATACTCTTTAAAGTGTAAAGTTAATATATATATATATTCAAATTGTATGTATATAATCTGCTTGTAGACTTGCATACCATTAGAAGAATTACCATATCACAAGAACTGGATAAGTTATATAGTTACCAGGTTTGGGTCAGGGGTTAACCAAGGTGGAAATTGAGGTCAGGGGTTAACCTAGGTGGAATTTGTGTGACATATGTAGAAATAAGGGAAAAACAGATGACAGAGGTGGAATTTGGGGTCAAGGGTTAAACTAGGGATCTTGTGTAACATATGGAGAACAAAGAAAAAAAACTGGTGTAGAAGACTATTTAAACAGGTTAGAATTTTGAGTGAGTCAGAATTTTTCAGACAGAGATGCTACTGGGGGTCTCCTGAAAGTTCTCCTTTGTTGTCGACAATAAAGTATATTCTTCTGATATTCATAACCTCCAGACTGAGTTTGATTTAGGAAGAGAAAAACCAAGAAAACCACCACATTTGGCGTCCCTCTGGGTGGGCTGGAAAGGAGCAGGACTGGTGTTGCTGTGCATGCTGGACTGGAGAGAAAACACAAATATGTGGCCACAATAAAAAACGGTAAGCGATTTTATGCTTATTAGTTTGTGTTTTTTCTGCCAGGACCTGCTTGTACAGGTAAATACACTTGAACTGTTTCTCCAGCTTTAAAGAATTAAAAGTAAATGTAAAAAAGATATTAAAGAAAAATGGGGTTTTGAATAACAGAAGAAAAAGAGTAATTTGCATGCAAATGATCTGTGTTTTCCTAAGTGGGCCTTGATGGATAGGATAAACATTAACTAGTAACTGTTACTCAGATTTGGGAAATTATTAATGATATAAGATATGCATAGAGTATTTATAGGTTTTAAGAGAGAGTCTTCAATGTGTTGTGACAGTTAAGAGATTAAAGCAGAGTAAGGTATGCAAATGATCTGTGTTTTCCTAAGTGGGCCTTGATGGATAGGATAAACAATCACTAGTAACTGTTACCCAGATTTGGGAAATTAATAATGATGTAAGAAATGCATAGAGCATTTATAAGTTTTAAGAGAGAGTCCTTAATGTGTGGTAACAGTTAAGAGATTAAAGCAGATTAAAGTAGAGAGATGCACGCTAAGACCTACGATACCGCTTTGTTTGAGGAGATAAACAAAGGGCTGCATGGGTAGGCGAAAGCCTGTGGTTACCGCTCTAAGGTTAGAGGGCTGCTCGGACAGGTCACTCAAGAGGAGTGTAGTGAAGAGTATTTATTTAATTGAAGTGTTTGTGTATTTGTTGCCTCAGATTGTGGCAAAATAGTCCACATTGGTGTGCAGAGAAGACTGCCTTCCTCCTCCTTGAATGAAATGAGGATGGGGGGATGCAGCTCCTGTTACACTGAGTGGAGGAGAGGAGTGAATGAGAAGAGGAAAAGTAATAAGATTAGAGATGTGAATGCGTTTAAAAGTATGTTTTCAATAAGGAGTAGGTTAAAATAATGATTATAGTAGATTATATAAAAGGAGGGCTGCATATGTGTGGTGTGATTTAAAGAGCAAGAAGAAAAGTGATTGATGCAGTTTAAGAGAAGAGATTATGATAGAAAGAAAGGAGTCTCCTAAATTAAAACTAATGGAACATGTACATTTGAAAGACACAGAGTAAAAAGCAGAAGAATAAACATTTTTCTGAAATTATCTTTGTGTTTTAAGTTTGAATATGTTAAAAAAGAACAATAGGCAGAGTGAACTTAAATTCTTTACATAGCAACAGGTGAAAGACAGTCTGCTCCAGGATGGGGGTAAGAGAGAGATTTATGGTGTCCATGTGGGAACAATAAATAGATTGTCTATTTACAGCACTAGGGAAACAGAGAAGAGGAGAGTTAATGAGAGGAGATCAAACTATAGATAAAATAATGACATAGACTTTAACATAATTTGGATAGAATATAAGTTATTAATGAATAGATAAATTATAAAGTAGTATAGTAAGATAAATGAAATGAGGAAATACTAATAATAGAGTTATATTATATAGAAAAGAGTTTGAAACTCTACTAATGAAAAAGAATAAATGAAGCCATAGTGATCAATATATAGAGAGATAAAGGAAGTATAGAGTAAAAGCATGTATTAATAAACCAATAGATTTATTAAATAAATTATGAATGAATAACATATAGGTTATGTCTTTGATTGAGAATAAAATAGAAAAAAAATAAGCCCACTGTTTCATAGATAAAATTAGATGTTTAAAAAATACTTACAATATAGGCACATTGAACAGATAAGATTAAAAGTAAAAAAGCAGTAACAATTTGAAGAAATAATTGACTTTAGAGAATTTGTTTGTATTTAAGGGCAATAAAAATGTCTTTCTCAAAGTCAGCTATATCATTTATTTGTAGTAAAGTACAGTGATTCAGATGAAAATCATAGAAGCTAGGTAAATGTTAAAGAATGCGTTAGAGTGAGTTTAAAAGATTAATACATGTAAAAGTTTATGCAGTAAGAAGCTAAATTGATAAGTATGCATTGCACTTTAAAAATGAAAAATGCTTTTAGTAAATAAATATGTGAATTTAATTAATAATATTAACTTTGAGCTATAGCAGTAATGATTTTGAACAGTTATTCCAGATATTGGGCCACCATGTAGTATTGTTGAATTAAATCAGGTATGGAAAAACAGCTATGGAAATAAAAAATGCAATACTAAAATATGTGACAGAGAAAATAAAAGATAAGATAATGACAAATGGCAAACAGAAGAAACATTTGATGCAAGCAGTGAGAAAATAGAAACTGAGCATACACTGTTAAAAATTGTCCCGTTATAAAACAGTAAAATACTGGCAGCTGCAGTTGCCAGCAATGTACTGTTATTTTACAGTATGTTGCTGTAAAAATACATGGACTACATTGATTTACACAATA